TTTTTTTTTTTTTTTTCCCCCCGGGATCCATCTGATCCCCATCTCATCCCAAAATTCCCCGGCAGTCCATCCAGCCGGCGCCCACGGCCAACCTGGACCGCACGGATGATCCGGTGTACGGGAATGTCATGGATCTGGTGCGGGCCGTGCTGCAGCTGAAGAACGAGATCAGCCTGGTGCCTCCTGATGGATACATCCTGGTGGTCAAGGTAGGGATGGGACGGGCCCGGAATTCCCTGGAATTCCGTGGGAAATGGGAGAGGCTGGTGGGAATTGGTCTCTTGAGTTCCAGGTGTCCTTTTTGGGAAAGGGGTTGTGCCTGCGGGAGAGCAGTTCCAGAATTCCCTGCTCTCCATTGGATATGTGGATCAATCCCAGAATTCCCAGTTTCTCTATTGTATCCTTGGATCAATCCCAGCATTCCCTGCTCCTCCATTGGATCCTTGGAGCAACGGTGGGAGCAATCTCAGAATTCCCAATTTCTCTATTGTATCCTTGGAGCAACCCCAGCATTCCCTGCTCTCCATTGGATACTTGGAGCAGTCCCAGCATTCCTTGCTCCTCCCTTGGAGCAATCCCAGCATTCCCAGTTCCTCTATTGGATCCCTGGAATAATCTTAGCATTCTCTGCTCTTCCTTTGGATCCTTGGAGCAATCCCAGCATTCCCTGCTCTTCCATTGGATCCTTGGCTCAACACTTGGAGGTTCTCCCACCACTCCCCTCTTTTGAATGGAATCCTCCCCTAAGCCACCCAAACTATTCCCGCTGGGAATTCACCCAGATCCATCCCATAATCCATCCCAGGATCCGTGCCCAGATCCACCCTCAGATCCATCCCCAGATCCCTCCCCGAGTCCATCCTCAGATCCGTCCCCAGCTTTATTTTTGGCTCCATCCCCGGATCCACCCTCAGATCCATCCCTGGATCTCTCCCTGAATCCATTCCCAAATCCATCCCTGGTTCCATCCTTGGATCCATGCCCAGATCAAGCCCCAGATCCATTCCAGGTTCCATCCTCACATCCATCCCCAGATCCCTCCCCAGGTCCATCTCCAGATATCCCTGGCTCCATCCCCAGATCCTTGGATCCATCCCTGGATCCATCCCAGGATCCATCTCTAGATCCATCCTTGGATGCATCCCCAGCTTTATTTTTGGCTCCATCCCCGGATCCACCCTCAGATCCATCCCCATATCCCTCCCCGAATCCATTCCCAGATCCATCCCTGGATCTTTCCCTGGATCCCTCCACAGATCCATCCTTGGATCCATGCCCGGATCCATGTCCAGATCCATCCATTGGTCCATCCCTGGCTCCATCCCCAGATCCATCCCTGGATCCATCCTGGGATCCATCCTGAGATCTGTCCCTGGTTCCGTTCCCGAATCCATCCCCAGATCCATCCTTGGATCCATCCCAAGATCCACCCCCAGTTCTGTCCCGGGATCCATCCCTGGTTCCATGCCCAGATCCATCCCAAGATCCACCCCCGGTTCCGTCCCGGGATCCATCCATGGATCCTTTCCCGGATCCATCCCAACCCTCCCTTCCCGCAGAAGATCGGCCTTTCCCTACGGAAGCTCATCGGGAGCGTCGACGAGATCCTCCCCGACCTCCCGTCCTCTTCCCGCACCGAGGTAAGAGCAGGAACATCGGGAAACGAGGGCTGGGGGTGCTGTGGGATGACATTCCCAAACCTGAATTCCCAAAAAATCCCTTCCCAGATCGAGGGCACCCAGAAGCTGCTCAACAAGGACCTGGCCAACCTCATCAGCAAGATGCGCCTGGCGCAGCAGAATTCCGGCACTTCCCTGAGCTCGGAATTCCAGCGGCAGATGCTGACGGCTTCCCACGCCCTGGCCGTGGACGCCAAGAACCTCCTGGACGCCGTGGACCAGGCCAAGCTCCAGGCCAACCTGGCCAAGCCGTGCTCGGAATGAGGGAAGGCATTCCGCAACCATCCGGGACGAGCCGGCTTTCCGTGGATTTTTTTTTTTTTGGTTTGGTTTTGTTCGGTTTTTTTTTTTTTCCCCTTCTTCCTGCTCCTCGTGTCTCTGCGTTGCTCTTCGGAAGATGGCAGGAATCCGATGGGGGGTTTTCCCTGGAAAAAGGTTGGGATGGGGGTGGTGGAGAAGAGAGGGGGGGTGAAGATCCCTCCGGCTCGGCGGCTTCCCGGCCGGGAATGCTGGCGCATCCATGGATCCGTGGAGCACGGATGGCCGCGGGCGGCACGGCGGGACAAAGGACCTGGAGCGTGCCGGGAGCCGTGGGCACGGAATTTTTATTTTTTGGGGGGAGGTGGGGGGAGCTGGAATTCCCATGGGAACGATGTCCGGAAGGAACCGTCGGCGTTCTCTTTCCCTTGCACATTGTACAGAAGAGTTTATTTAACGACGGCGAGCCTACGGAATTCCGGAGCCGACGGAATTCGGGAAGGGATGGATCCCCCCCCTCCATGGATCACGGCTTTTTAGGGGGGGGGACACAAACCTGGAGAACCTCTTCCAGCTGCGTTTTTTTTTTTTTCCCCGAGTTTTGTGTCAACGCCGCCGGCAAAAATCCGCGGCTCCGTCGGGTTTGTGCTTCCGGTTGGGAACCCGGCGGATTCGGGCTTTTCCCCCAGCGTTTTTCCCGCAGTTTTCCCAGTTTATTCCGGCTGAGATAAAACCGTGCGCCAAATCCTGTGGATTCTTCTTCCTGTCGTTTCCCCCACGGCCAATCCCCTGGAATTTTCTTGGAAAAAGGGATGGTTGGGATGGTGGGAGATTTCCTGGGATGGTGGGAAGGGAGTCTGTGCCCGTGGAATGGGATGAGGATTCCTGCCCCAAATGGAGCTCTCCCAAAAAAAGGGT